AATGTCATCCTATAAAACATAATTTGTATAGGATTAAGCTATATTTCAATATATTTATCAACAACTATCCATGTTTTGTGGCCTAAATAAATGTATAAAATATACTTATCAAAAGTAATCGGAAAACCATTGGTTAAAGGGTTGTTTCCCCGGTCAAGATTTATTTGTCATTGCATACTTCTTCCCCGTTTGGCCCCATTATTTGAAATTTTAGCGGTTTAAATAGTTTTTTTTTTTAATTTGTAGTTAAAAAGAAGAAAAGTTTTGAAATTACATATAATATTATTTTAATGGAGAATGTGATTAATAAGAAGAGAGGGAAAAATGAATTAAAATTTAATTGGAGGCCAAACAGGGGCGAAATGGAAATAGTTGATGTTTTCAATGAATGACTGTCAACATAAATTTTGAGTTAATATCTACTTTTTCTTGGAACATATCTTGGAATTGGCTTTCTAGAACACCAAGACTAGAGTCACTAAAAGCATCTCTAATTCATTTTATGCAATGATATCTAAGTGGTATGGAGATGGACTTTTAGTCTGCATGGCATTGATGTCAAACTAATAGACATTCATATTAAAAATTGATCTTCAATGCATTTTGTGAATTGCTATTTAGGTATCATTTATTTTCTTTAAATACATTCAAATTTGCATAGGAAATGAAAATCAGTATTGCTAATATAAATTTTGTTGAGTGAGCATATCTAATTTGGCTCTAGAGTCTAGAAAAATCTCTAGATAGTGTCCATTTATCTTTGGTAGAAAATTTTTAAACATACTTTCTGAACAAATCATGATTACATTGAAATGCTCTGAGAACTTCCCACATACGTGGCAAGAGAAACAAACCTGAGCTGACCGACCTTTATACCCTCGTTTGATTCTTATTCTTATAAGAATGAGAATGAAAAATATAGTTGTTACAGAACTCACACAAGAGAGAAAAAGTCAAATATGGTGATTTGATGTAATGGATAACGTTCATATTTTTCATTTTCTTGGCTAAAGAATGATAAACAAACGGGACCTACATATCCATTTTCAAACTATTGAACACTGTGTTGACTTCGAAATTAGAGGCCTTGGTGTCATCAAATTTGATCACTTGTCCTTCCATGTGTTACACGATAGTAGATAGGTGTCGCTATCTAAATTAGGTGCATAAATTATATTAGTTAACAAAACACATGTATATAAAATGAGCAAATTTGTGACTTACTAAAATATAGAAAATAAAAATAATAAAAAATTATAAAGAGATACAATAAAGTGATGATTACAAATTTCCTTAACATAAATTTCGCCACTGCACTAGTGCAACGGAATAAAACAGATATTTCCCAAGATACAAAACTAATTTCAAAATTAGTATAGAAAAAATTAATTTTATTGGACGAACTAACCTTGATCGAACTTTTTCTACATTGTATGATATCAAACACTAAATTTTGAAAATTATTTTGGCAGAATTTGGAGAGAAAATGAATTCAGAAATTAATTAATTTGGAACAAAGAAAATAGAATTAAGAGGATCATGTTTAAATTTTTTTTTTTTTAAATGTTCGTTTTGAATGGTTGCATCTTTCGACACAAAATTATTTGGACCATTAGATCACATCATATCATATTGGGATGTGATTGGTGGTTAAGATTGCACTCTATCAAATGTCATCATCTCATTATATACCCATTGCACTTGTGAGTCACGCTCAATCGATTTTATTTTATTTTTTTTTTTCAATTCACACATTAATATTAGGTCAATTGGATGTTTGCCTTGTTCCCGACGAGCTTGTGCCACTGATTCCATGCATGGACACTTTGGCTCCACGCGTGAGATAACCAAATAAATATAAATAAAAGTATATTCGAGAAGTGTTCATTTTGTTTTAAATTATAAATACTATTTGATCCATCACTGATTTTTATGTGTTTGAAACATCTTCAAGAAACATTTTTATTTAAAAATATATATATATTTTACAATTTAAAGAGTATCTACAGATTTAAAAAGTAAAAAATTTTAAATACTCCAACAATAGCAAATTTATCTTTAACTCTTAATTTTACTATTTTTAATATATATTTATTATTTTTTTCATATATTTTCTTTTCACAAGTTTCTATCCAAATTATTATATTATTTATCTCTATTTTCTTTGTATACACTATTAATTGGGTCGTTACATGGAGAATTGAAAATTATAATATTTTAAACGCATTTAATTGTAGAGAGTAAATTTAGCTCTCCGAAATTCATTCTCTATTTTAAAATTTTAGCTCTTAAAAATAATTTTTAAAATTGATTCTTTAAAATAGAATGTTCTTATAGCTCCTTGTCAAATATACTCTAAGATTTATTAAAATTAAAACAATTGCTAACGCTACGAATCCCTCCAATAGGATGGTAGCAGTTAAATCATTCTGCTGTTTGAAGTCTGACGGGCTCTTTCTGTTACTTGGTTGATAATCCAAATTGGAACATTTATTATTGGAGAGTTAAACGGTATCTTAATCAACAAGGTTCCTTATCTGCGACGGTCAATGTTTCATGCAGGTCTTTTTCAAACCATCCTTGGAAAAAGCAGCTGGAAAATTCTCATAGAACGAACAAAATCTTGTTTTCATATTGAATTTGTTCTTAGTTTCATATTGAATAACAATTGGACTTCAAAAATCAAATTTTCAAAAATTTAGATGCATGGGTTAATAGCAAAAGACCCCCCTAAAAATGTTTTTCATTTACGATGTACCTGCTACCGATTGGAAATATGACAATGAATCTACACTTGCCATATATTTTTCTTTAAAATTATGGAAAATCTGTAGATAATTGATTCGATAACTGACTCTAACATGTACTTCCTTTCATGACGTCCACTAGCAATTCAAAAAAGCATTGCAACAGAAGAAGAAGGTGATGACGATGGTGATGATGTGGGATAGTTTGTGAGAGCAATAAAAGAAAAACATTTTGTGTTTTAACCACAAAATATTCAGATGGTTAGTGGGGTGGAATGGGTGGGAGAGACAATAAAAGAAGCTAAGGGTGTGTTTGATTGTAAGCATGAAATTTACGTGGAAATAAAATAAATTTTAAGCAGTTAACTTACTTAGAACTTATTTGCATGGAAATTATTGATTAAATGTATTTGATTGATTTAATTTTCAATCTGGAAAATAAATATTTGTTCATTTTTTATTGATGGGTGGATGAGAGATATAAGAGGGAGATGAGAGAGAATTATCTGAAAAATAAAAACATATTCTCTAACGAAAATACGTCTCTCGTTTTCAAAGAAAATATGGTCGTATGACCAAAAGTAGAAAAAATATATCCCATGGAAAAAATATCAATCAAAAGCATAAAAGTAGAAATTTGGGTGGAAATTTGACATTTTTTATGGAAAATATTGGTAATCAAACGTATTAGAAGTGATTTTTGTATTTTAAGTTTTGATTTTTAATTATGTATTTTGATTTATTTGTAATTTTTTGAAAATTTTGGGATTATAATTGCAATTAGTTCTTTATACCTTTTTTTTTTAAAATATGATGATATATTTGTAATTTGGGTTATTAGAACAAAACATTCATACATTATAATATTATTGTGCAAAATGTCCCAATCTTTCTTTTTTATTTTTTGTACTTTTACCCTTACTTTCACATTTTTATTGCAGAAATCATTATTTTTATCAAATTTCTGATGTAAAATGACTAATATACCTTCTATTTAAATAAAACAATAAAAAGTAAAGAAAAGTTAAAGAATAAATTGCAATCATACCCCCAAACTTTTTTTAAAAAAGAAAAATGAGCCAAAATAAATTATTAAAAGAGTAATTAGTACAAAACGTCCCCACCTTTCATTTTGACATTTTCACCACTTATTTTTATTTCATTGCAAAAATCATTATTTTCATTCATTTTCTTAATTAAAAGTTGCAAAATGACAAATATACCCATCTCTTTAAATAAAAAAAAATAAAGAAAAGAAAAATAAGAAATAAATTGCAACTATACTCCCAAAATTTTCAAAAAAAAAGTACAAATAAATTTTAAATAAATAATTAAAAAATTCTTTTTTAATTATTTATTTGAATTTTATTTTAATTTTTTAATAATAATTTCCACAATAAAAAGTAAATGTAAGGGATAAAATTGTCAAAAAATGAAAGACAACAACGTTTTGCACAATAATATTGAAAGATAAAGACGTTTTGTGCTAATTACCCTTTGTCATTTTGTAGCTTTTAATTAAGAAAATGGATGAAAATGATGATTTTCGCAATAAAAGGTGTAAGTGGGGTTAAAATGGCAAAAAAATAATAATAATAATAAATAAATTGTAAGATAGGAATATTTTGCACATTAAACTTAAAATGTAGGAACGTTTTATGCTTTTAATTCTTTACATTACTGCGTTCTCCTAATCTCCTTAGCATCTTTTCAGCCTTTTCAGTTTTTATTTTTCTAAAAAAAAAACTAATTTGTTTGTTTAAAATTTTATTGTGATCTTATTACCAAGCATTGGTCCCTAGACTTTAAAATAGCAAATTAATCTTCAAAATTTTATTATAATTGCATATTTAATTTCAAAAGACAAAAACTATTCATATATCAAAGGAGAGTGACAAGGACGAGCCGAACAGTATGGTTCCTTACTCTATCAGGGATTCTTAGGAGATTCCAGTAACATACTTATTTATTTTTATTTAAAATTAAATATTCACACTTAAAACATAAAAAAAAATAAAAATAAGAGTACTGGTTGAGAAAAGATGGGATGTTTAGTCAATCTTTTCAAGAATCGACTTATTTTAAAAGTGGAGGACTCACTCATAACTCAGCAATAGGTCAGTGACTGATTGTACAATTTTTCCTTTTTATATTAAAAAACAAAACAATATTCGAAATCATAATTGAGTCGTAGCAAAAATCCAATCACACACCTCCCCAAAAAAGGCAAGCAAAATGGATTCAAAACCGCGTAGACCCTGTCTCTCGTACACCGCCCCAACCCCACGCCTTTGCCCTCGAAACTTCCTCAATAGCTGCGTTCACACGTCTCTTTAGTCCTTCTTTATCATTATACACACACCTGAACTGAATTTTTCAAAAGTTCCATTTTCTGATTTTGACAATTGATATTCTTCTATACGTGTTCACACTTCCTTTCACACATTCCAGACAGTATATGTATATCAGGTTTCAATTCCATCCACAAAAATCCTGACTACTCTTCATTTTTGCACTTCCTTCGACAAATCATTTGCAGATGAATGAAAATAAGCAGAAGCAGCAGCAGCAGCTGAAGAAACGAAGAAGAAATGAGAATGCACCAGAGAGCAGTGTTGTTGATGAAGAAGTTGATGAAAAACAAGGTGGGGTGAAGACAAAACATATGAAAGAGATCTTGACTTCTTTGATTTTGCTTGAGGATCAAGAAAAGGACGATAGAGAAGAATTCGCCAAGGCACATCAAGAAGAAAGATTACAATTCGAGGAATATCACAACAAAAAGACAAGCGCGATGCGTGATTATTACTCTAAGTTGCAGGTAATAATTACTCGTCTCGTCTTAAAAGCTTAAATCATTACACATCCATCTATTTGCATTTATTTATTTAAATCTTGTCTTCAATAGCAGGATTATCACGAGGATGTGGATCGTGTTGATGATGCTAGAAAAAGAAAGGCGCGTTCCAATACGTTTGCTGCATCCAATGCCACTGCCATCGCCCTTGCCTCGGCAGATATAGAGGATTCCATTTCCGGCGGCGAAGATAAAGCTGCCGCGAGTGATAAAGCCACGGCAACGGGGCCTCAGAGGCGGCTGTGGGTTAAGAGCAGATCAAAAGATTGGTGGGATCAATACAATAGCCCGGATTTTCCGGATGAGGAATTCAGAAAGGCATTCAGAATGGGAAAAGACACTTTTGATTTGATATGCAATGAATTGAGTTCCGCTGTTTCCAAGGAAAATACTATGTTGAGAGATGCTGTCCCTGTAAGGCAACGCGTTGCCGTCTGTATATGGCGGTTGGCCACCGGGGAGCCGCTTAGGCTTGTTTCGAAGAAATTCGGTTTGGGAATTTCGACATGTCACAAGCTCGTTCTTGAGGTTTGTTCTGCGATTAGAACTGTTCTGATGCCGAAATATTTAAGGTGGCCGGACGATGAAACAGTGAATAGGATTAAGAATGAATTTGAATCCATTTCCGGGATAAGCAATGTGGTTGGATCAATGTACACAACTCATATACCAATCATTGCTCCTAAGATTAGCGTTGCAGCCTATTTCAACCGGAGGCACACCGAGAGGAATCAAAAGACCTCGTATTCGATTACAGTTCAAGGCGTGGTTGATCCAAAGGGAGTGTTTACTGATGTTTGCATTGGATATCCTGGTTCAATGCCTGATGATCAGGTTTTGGAAAAATCGACACTTTTTCAAAGAGCAAATGCAGGGTTCTATAAAGGAGTTTGGATTGTTGGAGGTTCTGGATACCCTTTAATGGATTGGGTATTAGTACCTTACACACAGCAGCACTTGACTTGGACACAGCACGCTTTCAATGAGAAAATCGGAGAAATTCAAGGGATCGCGAAAGAGGCGTTCGCGAGATTGAAAGGACGATGGGGTTGTTTACAGAAAAGAACTGAGGTGAAACTTCAAGACTTGCCTGTCGTCTTAGGGGCGTGCTGCGTTTTGCATAATATATGCGAAATGAGGAACGACGATTTAGATTCGTCGCAGAAATTCGAGCTCTTTGACGATGAAATGATTCCTGAAATCGGATTGCGATCAGCAAATGCCATGAAAGCAAGGGATTCCATTGCTCATAATCTTTTGCATCATAACCATGCTGGCACATCATTTCTCTCATAGAAAGTGAAAAATCTTTGCTTTCAAGAATTGCAATATCTCAATGAATATTACATTATTCCTTTTTGTTGTAGCCTTGTAGGCTAAAGAATCATACACAAATTATAGATACAGATTGGTAGTTTAGTTTTTCACAATTGACAAATCGTTAGGAGAATTATATTTATTTCAGTTGCACTGTTTTTCTTCCAAAGGTTCGTATTCTAAACTTTGCCTTCAAATGAAGTTTCTTCCTCTCTCCTGATTTTTGTTAGGTACGTAACATCTTCCCCTGATTTTTGTTATTTGTTTATCAATTTTTTTTTTGTTGCTTTTGCTCTAATCTGTTTATTGGTCCTACAGTTTCTTGACTATGAAAATGAGAGATAATTAGTTGTGGATTTGTATTGGTTGCGTGTGAATCTTGTTGACAATAAAGATGGCAATAACCAGTAGGGAGTCCCTTTCATGCCGTTGAGCTAATTGTTAAATGATTTCAATTTCTATACCTGGTAGGACACTCGTACAAGAATTTTTATATGGTTCTTATGTTGCGTGGTTAAATGATGAAGTTTCCATACTGGTTGTTTGGTTTGGATTAAAATTTGATTTTAATTAAAGTTAAAGTCAAACAATCAATATTAAGTCCCTGTTTGTTTCCCATTATTTGACCATTAAAATGAAAAATATGATTATTATTCATCACATCAAGTCACAATATTTGACTTTCTATCTCTTGTGTGGAGCCCGTAACGACTATATTTTTTGTTCTCATTTTTACATTAATATGTACCAAATGGGGCCTAACTTTATTTTTTATGGGTCCCACAATTTTTCAACCACGTACGTTAAAAACTTCTATTACAATCTACTAAAATAAATGTATGGTTTTGTTGCAATACTAAAATATGACACGAGAACATATACGAATGAATTCAAGTGACACAGAAAATTTATTCATGGAAATGGTTTCGATAAAACAAATCAAACGAATGAGAGTAGATCGTAGCAGTTGTTAAAACAATCAATATTAATTACATCTTTCGTGGGTTTAACAACTTCTTAATCACATATTTCAAAACTTCGATAACAATTTACTAAAAAATTTAATTTTAATCCTCATTAAACATACTGTGAATTACTACAATAATTGAATTGCTTTGGTTTACAGGTTCTTGTTTTCACATATTTACTATTTTCATATGGTTGATTTCTTGGATACTTGTCCGAATACTAGGATTCCCATTGTAATGGCTCAAATGTCAAACGTCAAAAGTCAAAACATTGGTTCGCATTCAGATCTGTCCGTAATTTAATATGAAAATATAGAATCAGTAGGAAGAGAACATTGCCAATCGGTGACTTCCACGCCTTAATTTTCTCAATTAAAAGTCAAACAAGAACTTTTGACCTTCTCCTGTTGTTATCCGTGAATCAATTTGTTTGCTCTTCCGTGTTAAATTTTAACCATAATTTTCATCAAAGATCAGCATTTCGTCATGTGAACAGGGTTTCGCATGACAAACTTGTCCACAAAAAAATTGATGTGGCCATTCGAGCAATCCCAGATTGGTTGGTGGGACGATCCAAGCTCGGCCCATTGGTTACCGAACCAAATCAAAATAAAACTTAATGGTTCAGTTCCGATTTCGCTCCATATCTTAAAAAAATAAATAATAATAAAAAATTCATTTGGTTCCATCATTAAAAAAATTATTGATTCATAGCTCGGTTAAATTCTTTTGGAATGAGAGCCAAATGGAACAATATCCACACCTACTCAGAATCTAGCTTGACTCAATATTGGATTCGTTTAAATGTGGGACATATTTATTAGAAATACACTGAAATTTTTTTTTAAAAAAGTGTGCAATCAAACATATTTATTTATTTAAATATTATTTTCAATGATTTCAGCATGATGTCAAAGTATGCGAAGGCGTGAGTTCAAGTGTCAACACCACATATTTATGAAAATTCTATACGTCAAATCTTTTAGATGGAAAATAAACTAATTTATCAATAATATATCATATTAAAGGGAAATCAATTTTTGGATGATTTTAACCCTTCTACAATTCAATTATTTCAATAGTACCTCACTTTTCATTTTTTGATATTTAATAAATACTATAAAATTATTGTCATTTATAAAATTCATTTTATTAATTCTCAATTAATTAACACTCATATTAATCTAGATTCAATGAATCTTCACTTAATAAATCTTGAATTACACGAATCTATAATTATTATAGATGAATCTTATTCATAATCATGTATCTAGAATTTTTAATGGGCATTTAAATTTATGTATTAACAGTTAATTTTTATATATCAAATGTAAGATAAAAAGATTTTTCATTTTTAGTATTTCATCAGTACGAAAAATTTGAATCATAAAAATTGAGTTTTGATAGTACAATTTTCTTTTTTTAAATTTCTATGCTAAATCTTATTATTTTTTATTTCGTACAAGACTCATCAAATCCTCCAACAAATTTATATTAAATATCACTTTTACAAAACTTATAAATTATTTTAAAATAACGTACAATACATATTCAACTTTGACTAGTATGCCAAAAAGTGTTAAAGATTAAATTTACATAAATAAATTACCAGAAAGAGAAATGAATGAAAAAGTCCATTATCTAAAGAAAATTTAAAAACAAGGAACACTTTTGTATTGAAATAATTTAAAAATATATATAGGCAAATTAACTCGCAGTGTTCATTGAAATGTTCATAATATACCTTAGAGGGAGGAAAATGAACGAAAAAGATTTTAATATGATGAAGTATGCTACTTGTACATGGAGATTGTACATGTAGCATTACAGTGAGACAGATGATATTAATTCGTTGGATGAGAGACAAAAAATAATTTTGTTCCAGTCAAATTTTCTCTGTCATCGATCTCCCTGTACGATCTAACTGTACAAAGAGATTAATCCTCAAATGACATACATTTAGTACTTTTACATTTTTAGTAGATTTTGTAATGAATTGAAGCAGATCAAGAAAACAGATTTATGTATTTATTTGAAACCCGATTTAATTTCTTTATTACATATAAAACGCATGGTCTAGTTTTAATGAATATTTATGAGATTGTAAAAATAAAAAAATAAAAACAAAATATATTCTTATGTTATCGGGGAAAAAAAAAACATATATATATATAATCTAAACAACGTTACTTGCAAGGGCATGTACATATATATATATATATATATATGTACTACACAATTTGTCACACGCCAAATAAAGCTCAAAACGATAAAACTAAACCAAAAATTAGAAATATTTTCTAACAGCTGGGCACGAAAAGGAAGACATTTACTGCTATGATTGCATTACACAATCCAATTTAATGAAAGAGATATCTAGCTCGCATAACACTTGTAGTTGTTACGTACTAAACTAAGCATTATCCACTCGGATGCCACATTTATATATATATATATATATATGTACTACACAATTTGTCACACGCCAAATAAAGCTCAAAACGATAAAACTAAACCAAAAATTAGAAATATTTTCTAACAGCTGGGCACGAAAAGGAAGACATTTACTGCTATGATTGCATTACACAATCCAATTTAATGAAAGAGATATCTAGCTCGCATAACACTTGTAGTTGTTACGTACTAAACTAAGCATTATCCACTCGGATGCCACATTAGCAACAGAAGGCCCCACCATGCACCCCACATGTCTTGCAACGAATATTTGTGCCTCAAGTGTCGAGGCAGGTCAAACCAGAAGAATGCCTTGATCGATGAAACTTCTCTTATCAGGGGCTTATGTAGAACCCAATCACTTGGCTAAAAATTAGTTGTAAGCCTCGGTCAACATGCACAAGAAATATTAGTCCAAATTTTGATAGGATAAACCTAGACTTTAGTACAATAAGCCCATACGTGCACACAACAAATTGCTTCACAAGTATTACAAAGCAAGAAACTCGATAAAACCTTTGAAATTGGACATAATAGTAACTTTCAACATATGACAAGGGAATTTCAACTCTCAAAAATGACCAAAATAGGGACCATTGCACAACTAAAATAAGGTCGGAAATCTAATATTCAAACTTACACTCTAAACAAAAGAGCATCGAATACTAGGAAAAAATATAGGTTGGCGCTCTCAAAAATTCAAATATTCTCCGACAAAAACGCATTTTTAGGCAAAGTAACGTCGGAATCTCTAGTTAAATCATTTTCTACAAATAAATTGGCTTCAAAGCATTCCCAAAATTTACTAAAAAGAGGGAAAACCCTGTCGAATCTGGGTAGAAAACTTGACCTTTGACTAAAAAAATATTATCCATTTTCTTTGGCCAATATCAATTTTTAGAAGTCAAAAGTTCGAAACTGTCTATGGGAATATTTTTAATAAAATTATGAGAAGAAAACAAGTGACGAACTTAAAAATCAAGAAATATGAGTAGAAATGGGTCTAATAGTGATGAGAACCCAAGGAGGAATAGGAATGAAAGTCTCATTTTTTTCGGACGAAAATAATTGGAAACGAAGGAACCGGAAGATATCAAAAAGATGGCTAGGCAAACTTGAAATATAGTCGATAGGGCTACCAATGTGTAGCATTTCACTGAGGACCAGGGGCGGATCCAGAATTATATTTCAATGGGAGCGAGGCATAAAATGGGCTGAAATAATTTGTGAAAAAGACCAAAAAATTTTGAAAATTTAAATTTAACAAGATCCAATTAAAGGTTTTTGAAAATTTAATGGGGGCGGCCGACCCCACTTGTCCCTTAGTGGGTCGGCCCTTGCTGAGGACATTATTGCCTTATGACAGTTCTTTATCGGACAAGGCCAGGCAGTTGCACTTCTCTATCGACCTGTCTATGCATGAGAAGCCAACCATCCCATCAAAAGTAAGAGTAGAGACCTACAAGATTCACCATGTCTCTAATAGGCTGGGAGGCACTGAGGTCAATTTAAAGGGGGGCTAATGGAAGAATTTGTTAGAGAAAACCATCTAATCCTTCGAGTACGAGGACCAAGCTTCTCTCTGTGCTCATGTAGAAGGAATGTGAATAGTTAACTCCGACCACAGGAAATGGATGACAATAACAAGTATTTCTGTCTCTCCGTGGAATTATAATCATGGAGAAGTCTCGAAACTCGAAAGTTCCCAAAGCAAAAATGCGAAAATTTAGTGTGATAGGTGATTCCATCAAACATGTCCCAAAAATAGCACCCACATTAATTTCCTAGGGGT